CTCCTCCTCCTCCTCCTCCTCCTCCTCCTCCTCCTCCTCCTCCTCCCCCTGTGAGTGGTCCCCGTTACGGGTGCGGGCGCCTCCCTGCGGGAAGGGGAGGACGGAAGGGGGCAGGGCGGGATGTCTCGCGGCAGGCGTGCCCGCGCCCTGGAAGCTGCGCGTGTCCGTGCAGGATGCCGATATGCCGCCGGACTCCCGGCGCCTCGCGTGGCAGCTGTACAGGAGCAACTTCTACGACTACATGAGGCACCGCAGGATGAGGAGGAGCGGGGGGGAAGGCTACGAGGGTGGGCAGGTGACGATGATGAGGAGGGGAATGGGGTTCTCCTCCTCACCGCAGATCCCCCTCGCCGTGCTCATGCTGCTGTTCTCTCTCCTCTGGCCACCTGGTGCGAGCGGCATCAGATGCATCCTCCCCATCTCTGGGCATGGGTCTTCGAACGTCTCCGGATGTCCGCTCGCAAGCGTTCAAAGTTCCCCTCAATCCTCATCCTCTTGCTGCTGGTTCTCCCTCCCTCTTACGCTGGCGGACGTGAAAAGGAAGGCTGTAGTGCCATCTCCTCCTCCTCCCCTACCACCCCTGCAAAAAATCACAAGGCCCTACAGGGCACTGGTCGGCGCGGACCAGATGACGTCGAAAGACCAACAGGGGGACCAGTGGTCGAAGAGCAACCAGATGCAGCAGATGCAGGCGCTAGGCGAGCGCGACGGAGTCAACCTCTCGATCTATCTCTTTATCTCTTGCTCCATCCCTCCCTCTCCCGCAAACCTGCTCCCCCTCCTCCCTCTTCCTCCTCCTCCTCCTCCTTCCTCGTCCTTTCTCCTCTGCCTCCTCCATCCTCCTCCTCCTCCTGCTCGTCCTCCTTCTCCTCCTCCTCCTGCTCCTCCTCCTCCTCTCCCTTCACCCTCTCATGCCTCTCCACTGCACCCTCCCCCCCTTCCCCCCGCTCCCTTCCCCCCCCCCCCCCGAGGGGGATGCTGGGCGAGGACGGGGGACATGTAAAGAGGGGCAGGTGTGAGGGCCTCGGGCGATCCAGGTGCGGTCAACCTGCCCCCCCCCACCCCTCCCCCACCCCCCCCACCCCCAACACACACACCCCCAACACACACAGACACAGACACAGACACAGACACAGACACAGACACAGACACAGACACAGACACACATACACACACAAACACAAACACACACACACACACACACACACGGGCGCGCGCACACACAGACACACACACATACATACCCACATACACACACACACTTACGCACACACACACACTTACAATTACACTTACACGTACACTTGCACTTACACTTACACTTACACTTACACTTGCACTTACACTTGCACACACTTACACACACTTGCACACACACACACACGCACCATTACACACTTACACCCACACTTACACACTTACACACACACACACACACAAAAATACCACCCCCTCCCCTCGCTCTCCTCCTCCCTCCCCCTGCATATCCTGCCCCCGAACAAACACACACACACACACACACCACCCCTTCTCCTCGCTTTCATCTCCCTCCCCCATCCATATTCTGCCCCCCTGAAGCCAGAAGGAAACGGGACTGGTTTCCGCACGACAGGGAGAGGGACCACAGGTGTAACTACGTTGAGGGGCTAAGTCGCGACCACACGAGGCACATTTACAGCAGGGGAGGCGCAAGTGGGAGGGGAAAGGCCGCTCGCCTCCCGCTGTCGTTGGCGTCCCACGTTCGCCTTCGCCTCCCACGTTCGCCCGCCTTCGTTCGCCACCCGTTGTCGTTTTCATATGTTCGCCTCCCACGCTCGTGTTCGCCGCTTGCGTTCCCGATCGCCCCCCACGGTCGGTCACCCTCGTTCGCCTCCCGCTCTCGCCCGCCTCGCACGTGCGCTCGCCTCCCGCTGCCGCTCGCCTCCCGCTCTGGCTCGGCTGCCGCCCTGCGCTCGCCCGCCTCTCCTCGCTCGCCTGCAGCCTTCGCCTGCCTCCCAGCTTTGGGCCCGCCTCCCGCTGTTGCTCGCCTCCCGCGTTCGTCCGCTCCCCGCCTGCAGGAGGGCCAGCGACGGCGGGAGGCGCGCGACAGCGGGTAGGCGAGCAACAGCGGGTGGGCGAGCGAGAGCGGGAGGCGAGCGAGAGCGGCGAGCGAGAGGGGGGGGGGCGAGCGACAGTGTGAGGTGAGCGAAAGCGGGAGGCGCGCGCCTCTTACCTTTGCGTGCTGTGTGTCGTGAGGGGGCCCTGTCTTTTTTTTTGGGGGGGGGCCTCTGTCGTGGGAAGAACGCCCACATACCTGAAGCGGACGGGGGCGGCCTGGGAGCGGGACGAGGGGCAGGGATGCCGGCCTCAGGCGATGCAGACGCGCTCAACCACGTGCTTCGGTGCCTTGATCCAGGCATCAGAAGACGATGCGACTCTGGATATGGTCGCCCCGAGACGATGACAGAGTTCTCGCCCGACAGCGTGCCAGAGCACGTGTACAACGAGGTTGCGAACACAGCAAAGCAGGAGGGAGAGGTTGCCCAGCGTTTCCTGGACAACCTCCAGGGGATGGCGGGGATGAGGGAGGGCGGATTCGAGACCTTTCCCGTGGCTCGCTTCTACGAGCTGTGCGAAGAGAAGGAGATCGGGGCCCCAAACCATTGGGTGTGCACACGATTTGGGGCCTTGGGTCGTTCTCAAGAGCTTCTCGGGCGACTAGGGCCTCTGGGGTCCCAAGCCACTGCGGTGGCGGACGGTGCCGTGAGGCCTTCGGGGGTGTCGAGATCACCGCACACTCCGTCGCCGCATTGTCCTGGAACTTTCCTCCTCCTCCTCCTCCTCCTCCTGCTTCTCCTGCTCTTCCTCCTCCCTCTCCCTCTCCTCCTGCTCCTGCTCCTCTTCCTCCTCCTGCTCCTGCTCCTCCTCCTCCTCCTCCTCCTCCTCCTACTCCTCCTCCTTCTCCTGCGCCTCCTGCTCCCGAGGAGATCCTCTGGCACGACGTCGCGGTGAACACTCGCGGGAGGCCCCTCGGCGGCCAGCAGGGCCCGCGCGGCGCCGAGCAGCAGGGCGACGCGGCGAGGGGGCCCGACCGTGGGCACTTCCCGTACATCGACGAGCAGGCGCGGCCTCGCTCCGCCTCCGCGGTCCTCCTCCTCCTCCTCCTCCTCCTCCTCCTCCTCCTCCTCCGCCTCCGCCTCCCCCTCCTCCTCCTCCTCCTCCTCCTTCTCCTCCTTCTCCTCCGCGGTGCTCCTCCTCCTTCTCCTCCTCCCTTGCTCCTTCTTCTCACTTAGTGAACTAACTTGCTCTTGCTCTTGCTCCTCATGCTCCTTCTCCTGCTCCTCCTCCTCATCCTCCTCTTCCTCCTCCTCCTCCTCCTCCTCTTCCTCCTCATCCTCCTCCTCATCCTCCGCCTCCTCCGCCTCCGCGGCCCTCGGAGGTCCAGGAGGAGGGCTTCCCCGGTCCTCCCCAGACATCTTGGCGTGTCGGCAAAATCGAGACGCGGAGGTTCTTCGCCGTTTTCCGCCTCCAGGGTCCCTCGCTGGGCCTCGGGACTGTCAAAGAGCGACTCGGGATGAGAAACCGGTCCCGGAGAAGGGGTCGAGACCGCTGTTGGGCCGACGTCCTGGGGGTCCTGGTCGATGCTCCTCGATCCACAGCCTCCTCGATCCTCCCCCTGCCCCTCCACTGCGATCCCCGAGGGTCGAGCTGCGGTCGAGGCGCGGCGGTCGAGGACCAATCTGTCGGGTTCGGGAGGGGCTGCAATTCTCGGGGCGCGCTTTCGATCTTGGTCGAGGGTTTCCATGCGTGGCCGCGGCTCGCCATGGCAGGGAGAGGCCCGTCGTGCCTGGCTCAGCGCTCCCAGCGGCCGCACAGCGGCTGCAGGATGGACCTGCTCACCGGGCTGCGGGGTCCTCCGCCCGCGCGGGCCTCGTCGCAGGTCGCGTGCGTGCGTTGCTGTAGCCTCGGGGCGAATCCAGCGGCGGTGACGAGAAGCCCGGCCCGGGAGGCCCCCCAGGAAGGGGGCAGCGGGCCCAGGGTGGAGGCATGGGTAGCTGCCTTCTCCTCCTCTGGGTGTCGAGCACGCGATTCCGCGCGCTCCGCGTCTTCTCCTTCGCCTCCTCTTCGCCTCCTCCTGCCGGCCCCGCGGGGCCCGCCCGGGGCGCAGGGCCCCGTTTTGGCGAGTGCCCGCCCGCAGGACTTCTGACAGTCGAGCCCGCCTGGCAAGTCGACCCTTTCCACGGGGCTTTCCATGGTGCCGCACGGCCACAGCCACATCGGCGCATAGCCAGAGGACGAAAAAAAAGATAGTGGAGGCCCATGCCAAGATGCACCCTGCTTGACTCCAGGGTGCCCTGGGCTTCTTGGGCTTCGAGGGTCAGGCTACGGAAGGCGCGGTGCGTTCCCACACCAAGAACCAATGGACGTCCTGGGGTCTCAGGGGTGGGTATCTTGTGGAAAGTGTCTTGCGGTCGGGCCCCTACTGTATACCATTAACTTTTCCCGCCGTCGGGGACGTCTGCCCCCCAGGCGGCTGCAATGTTTATACCCGTATGGCGCCACGTAGGGGTATAACTGTTCCAGCCGCCCACGGTGCAGGCGTCCCCGCTTGCGGACAAGTTCATGTTATACCGTTCATCGTCCGCTAATATGGGCGTGTGGGCGCGGGAATCTGCAGCGCTTCCCTGCTTCCTTGGCGTCGTTTTGCTCCTGACCGTAACTAGGCTGCCCTGGGCACGCCGACATCTGGTGACTTGTGGCTCATGGGCTTATTGCGGGTGTGGAAGAAAAATACGTCGGTCGACCCTTCTGTCCTGTGCTCCGCGTCCTCTGTCCCCCCATATCTTTGGCAGTGAGGACCTCGGAAGAGCCCTGGGTCCTTCGGACGGGGCTGGGGCGAGGATAGATCCATTCCAGAACGTTCCGGGGCGCTCTCAGAGCGTTCGTGGACGCTCTCAGGGCGCCTTGGGACGCTCTGAGAAGGCCGCGGCGTTCGAGACATCCTCCAGAGCTGCCTCATTTCCGAGATTTTCGATGTATCCACAACTGATGTTGTCCTTGTCCTGGCTTCGTCTTATCCTGGGTCCTCTCGCGTTGCCTCTCCAATCGAACTCGACTGACTGTACTGCACGCATATCTGGCCCCTCTTCCTGATGAGGCCGCTCTTGTCGACGAGCTCCGCTTGGACGAGGTTCTGCGGCTGCGCCACCGCCGCAACGAGCGCCGGCATCCGAAGTGGACCCTTGGGGCGCGGGGCCTCCAAACGAGGGGCGGATTCCCCCTCCCTCTTCGTCTCCCCCTCCTCCCCCTCCTCCTCCTCCTGCTCCTCCTCCTGCTCCTCCTCATCCTCCTCATCCTCCGTCTTCTTCTCCTCCTCCTCCTCATCCGCAGCACCACCATCATTATCAGTATCACCGTCATGATCATAGTTGTCATCATCACCATCACCATCAGCATCATCAGTATTATCATCATAATCCTCATCGTCAGCACCACCATCAACAACATATTAAACATCATCACCAGCAGCAGCATCACCATCACCATCACCATACTCATCACCATCCTCCTTATCATAACCACTAGCATTATCCTCGCCAGCATCATCATCACCAACAACATACATCATCAGCATCATGATCATAATCAGCATCATCAGCAGCATCATCAGAATCATCAGTATCCGGATCATCAGTCTGATCATCATCATCCTAATCTTCTTGTCACCGTCGACAACATGAGCAGCATAATCATCACCTTCGCATCACCATCAGCACCATCAACAGCATCATAATCAGGATCAAGACAAGCATCATCGCAGTCATCATCAGCACTATCATCATCAGCATCACCATCACAATAGTTAGTACCGTCACCATCATCAGCATCAGCAACACAATCCTCAGCATCACCAGCATCATCAACATCATAATCAGCACCATCATAATGGCTATTATCATCATTTTGTCATCAGCATCATCAGCATCACCATCACGATCATCGGCATCATCATCCTCAACCTCATCATGATCATCATCATCATCATCATCATCATCATCATCATCATCAGCATCATCATCATCATCATCATCATCATCATCACCATCTCCAGCATCGTCATCACCATCGTCACTGACCTCCACCTCTTATCATCCACCCCCTCTCCCTCCTCCCCCTCCCCCTCGTCCTCCTCCACCTGCGCGAGCAGAACTGGAGCTCCAGTGCGTGGCCCTGGCTCGACGACCTCGTGCACAGTGCCGGCAGCCTGCAGCGCTCGTTGCTTCAAGTCCGTCGCGGCTAGCTCGTCTGCCAGCGGGAAGCTCTCTCCCCCCTCCTCCCCCTCCTCAGGCGCAACGTCGGGGCGCATGCCGACCTCGGCAAGGGCGTCGAGGCCCTGCGGTAGACCCTGGCGCGGCCTCAAGCACGCCCAGCGCGGCGGGCGCTGCGGGCCCCGCGGGCCGGCGCCGCCGAGCGGCAGCCTGGCCGAGGCGCACGTCGGCGGTGTCGTCGTCGTCGGCGTCGGCGTCGGCGTCGGCGTCGTCGGCGTCGTTGGGTCTTCGACACCGTGGCGCTGGGCGGCTTCCCGCCTTTCCTGCTCAGGGTGCCGCGGGAGGCGGTGGACAAGAAGGAGGAGGAGGACGAGAGCCCCTTCGAGGAACACTCCGAGGGCTTCAAGCTGGAGGAGACCGACGCCAGCCTGGGCTTCGGGGAGCTGGACGTGGACGAGTGCGAGGGCACCGACCAGGTCGTGGACAGCACCGAGGGGCAAGTGAACGAGGGGGAGGACGAGGCCCCCTGAGGACGACAGCCAAGTCATCTCGGAGCTAGAGGGCGAGAATTTCGATAGCGTGCCGTTCGGTGAGACGAGCTTCGACGTCAGCCCCTACGAGAAGCCTGGTGCGGTCGGCGACGCGCTGGACGGCGGCAGTGGTACTGCCCCGTCTCGTGGAGTTGCCCCTGCCGCTGGTCCTCAGTACGGGGAGCAGCTCGTGGATGAGATGCGCAGGCGCTCCGAGCAGTTCGCACAGCTCCTCGGCCAGTCGCTGACGTCCCAGCGCGGCGCGCTCGTGGAGCAGCTGGAGGTGGCCGCTGGGGAATGCGAGGAGGACCCGCCGCCAAGGGACGCTCCCTGGACTTGCTCGGTGGGCTTTTAACTCTGGGGCACCCACCCACCCTGCACAAAGTCTCGCCGCCAAGGGACGCGTCCTGGACCTGTTCGGTGGGGCATGACCAGGGGGCACCCCCGAAGAGCAGGCCGCCAAGGGAGGCGCCCTGGACCAGACCCTGAGCAGAGAATCGCTGCCTGAAGGGATTCAGAGGGGTCACTCCCCCCGCCAGCACGCAGCACCAAGACCGACCTGGCGCGGTCGGGGGCCGCACAGACAACCCCCAGGCAGCGCGCGCAGAGACGCGCGAGGGCGCCGCAACAGACGCGCGGCGAACGCAGTGGCCCTTGGATAGCAGTGGTGGCTCCGCTGTTGCCCTCAGCCTCGCAGCTGCCGCTGGCGAGAGAGGCAGGCTTGTGCATGTCCAAGGTGCGAGGTCGGAGCCCAAAGCATACGTCCACGATGGCGCAACGTGCCTCTCCGAGCTCATTGGCGGTGACGGCGGCCGCGTGCTGGGCCTGAGCCCCGAAGGTGAGGAGTACCCTTTCGACGACCGCACTGTGGGCGCGGACGGGGTGTGCCTCCTGCAGGGCGCCAAATGGTGGCGCGCCGCCGTGCTCTCGTCTGCGTCGGCGCCTGCTGTGGCGCCACGACGTGGCGCCCGGGGTGCCGAGGCCGTGCAGAAGGCCGAGGGGCAGCGGGGCCAGCCTGCCCGCGCCGGTCGCGCGCCCCGAGCACAGAGGAGGGCCGCCTGGGACCCCGTGGCAGCAGGCCGTCGGCCTGCCAGGGCTGGGAGCGGCGGACGGGCGAGCGGCTGCGGCGGCCTGGCCACTGCCTGACTGCGGCCTGTCGCGCGCGGGCGCGCCGATCAGTGTTGCACGCTCCTCTCTGCCCCATCATGGCTGTTAAAACTCCTCCTCCTCCTCCTCCTCCTCCTTCTCCTCCTCCTTCTCCCCGAATTTGCTTCCCCCTCCTCATCACCCCTCCCCAGTCGCCGCGATGGTTGTGTATCGCGTTTGGCGTTCGTGGACCGTGCTCCAGGCCCTGAGGGCCCCTCAAACGAACGACCCCCGCGAAACGGGGCGGTGTCGAGAGTCCGTCGTGAACAAAGTCCGCAGTGCTGGAGGTCCTCAGAGGTCCCCCGGGGTCCCTGAAGGGACCTCCATGAGGCCTCCCAGATCATGCAGAACAACCTGGATCCTCAATCTTCTATCGTCGCTGGCAGAAAGTAGCAGTTGCGTGGCCCACGCTTGCGAGCAGAGATCGCGGCATCGTGGGTGCGGAGGCGGCGGCGACTGCGGGGGGCCGACCACGACCACGGGGAACGAACACGACGACGAGGACGACGAGGAACGGCGATCTACAATCGCCCATGCGTCGCCAGATTCCTTGTCACGAGGGTACCCCAGCGGCGCGACCAGGAACTAACCATCGAGGTTGTTGGCGATGTCAGCCAGACGTCCAACGTCTTGAAAACACAGCAGGGGGCGATGTATTGTTGCCTTCTGGCCTCCAGGGTTAGGTCGGGCATGTCCCCCTACAGGGGGATCTCGGGCGAAAAAAATAAAAATACTAGAACAATGCTCCCCAAATGCCTGAAAATTGTCAAAACATTGTCTCCTGACTATTTTTGTTTATTTTTGACTACCCCTCCTGTATAGGGGCTGCTTCCAGTGTTAGGGCCTCCGAATGGCCCTTTGAGCGAACAGTTGAGCATCATGGGAAGGGATCGAGCTGTCGGAGGCCATCGGACTGAACAAGCGCAGTATGTCGTAGGTCCAGCCCCATGCCGATATCCGCCTCCCTCCCTCCAGTCCCGCCAATTTCCGAGAGGCGCGGAGGCGTGCAAGCGTGTCTAGAGTCGAGGACCGAGCTCTTGGATGAAGGGAGGCGTGGCTCCAGGGAGGAGGCGGCGTGCCTGCGCTCCTTGTGGCGCCCCGCAGGATCGAGAAGGCTTACCAGACCAGGCGGCGGCACCGAAAATACCACCTCCGTTCTCGCCGTCGGGGGCGAGGAGCAGCAGCAGCAGCAGCAGCAGCAGAAGGAGGAGGAGAAGGATGAAAGCGAGGAGGAGGAGGAGGAGGAGGAGGAGGAGGAGGAGGAGGAGAGAAAGACGAGCAGGAGGAGGAGGAGGAGGAGGAGGAGGAGGAGGAGGCGGTGCGCTGCCTTCTGGTGCAGGCAGCGTCACAAGAAGTATCTGCACCGGCGCGCAATCAACCTCGACGAGATCAAGGACGCGAGCGTCACCCGCTGCGGCTAGCAGCGAGCTACTCCCCCCCGCAGCTCGTCCTATTGCGAAGGCCTCACGGCCGGTGCCGCCGACCCTAAAGGGGAACGACGACAACGGCGGCGGCGGCGGCGACGACGACGACGACGACGCTGACGTGGGTCAGAGTCCTCATGGATGTTTCTTGGGGTCTCTTCGAAGCGCTCTCGGGGGACAGTTTAGGGGCCTCTTGAGAGCCTCTTGGGGGCTTTTTGGCAGCCTCAAGGACGCGAGTGTCCAGTTTTGGGGCCTCTTGGGAGCCTCTTGGGGGCATTTTGGGAGCCTCAAGGACGCGAGTGTCACCCGCTGCGGCCAGCAGCGAGTTCCCCCCCCCACCCCCCCACGCAGTTCGCCCTCTTCGCTCAGACCCCAGGCAGGGCAGGAATGGGGACGAGGGAGAGGACGTCGAGGAGTTGGAGGAGGATGGGGGAGAGGCGGAAGAGCAAGCGAAGGAGTAGGAGGAGGAGGAGGAGGAGGAGGAGGAGGAGAAGGAGAAGGAGGAGGAGGAGATGCTGAGGAGGTGGAGAAGGAGAGGCGGGACAATCGGGGGGAGCCGGGGGAGATGGCGGAGGACAGGATGCGGACCATCACGAGGAGGCGGAAGAGGATGAGGAGGAGAAGGAGGAGGAGGAGCCAGGATGACGAGGAGGAGGGCGAAGACAAGGAGGAAGATGAGGAGGCGGAGGAGGAGGAGGAGGAGGAGGATAGCGAGCAAGGAGCAAGGGGGAAGGAGGACGAGGTGAGGGTGGACTCAGGAGAAAGAGGATGAGAGGGAGGAACAGGAGAAGGAAGGGAGGATGGGTGAGTAGGGGGAAGAAGAGGACCATGAGGATGGAATAGGGAGAAGAGGAAATGAAGGTTGGAGGAGGAGGAGGAAAGGAAAGGACAGGACAGGAAAGGAAAGGAAAGGAGTAGGAGAGGGAAATGGAGGTGGATGAGGAGGAGGATGGCAATGAATAACGTTTGAAGGAGGATAGGAGGACGAGCAGGACAGGTACGACGTGGCAGGATGAAAGGAAGGAAGAGTAGACCGGGAAATATGGATTGGATGAGTTTTCCAGGCGAAGAGAGGGAGGATTGAGGAGGAGCACTTTGCAGTGGGAGGATGACGAGGACGGTACGACGAAGAGGCTTGGCGAGTGCATCGAACGACCCCACATGCTCTTGATCTCCCCTCTCCCTCTGTCCTCGTCCTCCTTCTGACCCTGCTCCCTTCCCCTCCCCCCTTTCCCGACCTCCTTTCCCCAACATTCTCCCCCCATCCGTCTCCGCCCCCTCCATGCCAAGGAGAGGATGGGGGTGCTCAAGCAGGGCATCGGCGTCGAGTGAAGCCTGCCGCCACGGCAACGCTTGCGCGCGCGCGCTCGGTTCTCCGCGACCTCGTCGCCGCCGTCGCCGCCGTCGGCGGCGGCACAGGCGCTGTTCGGCGACCGCTTGCGAACGCTTCCCTGCGGGTCCGATCGATGCTGGGGTGCACCCATCGGTCGTTGAAAGTAGGTATTGTTGGACTCCCAGGCTCCAATCAGCTTGCCGCGCACTCCTGCTTCAAGGATCGAGTGGCTTCGCCGTGTCCGTCCTCTGCAAGGGGCACGCGGAAGCCCAATCTAGTTCCACTGCCTTCCTTCTTCGTGTTTCTTGATAGGCCTGTTTTTCACCACCAGAAGTTGGAGGGGGAGGGGGTCCTCCTCCTCTTTCTCCTCCACCTCCACCTCCTCGTCCTCCTCTTCGTCCTCCTCCTCCTCCTCCTCCTCCTTCTCCCCCTCCTCCTCCTCCTCCTCCTCACTCTCCTCCTCCCGCTCCAACTTGTGGTGGTGGTCGTCGAAGGCAGGCCCATCATTTCTACCTACTTCTTCCGACCGATGGGCACCGGGTCGGGCGACAGCAGCAAAGGCCGCCGCCGGGGGTGCGCAGCTGTTCGCGCCGCGCGGCTCGCGGCCCCGCGGCGCGAGAGAGAGTGCGAAGTTAGGTTCGCGCGACCCACGCTCGGCGAAGCGCGAAGCGCGCACAGAGTCGCCCTTGGGGATAGGGTTTCCATTGGGCATGTCCCTCTGCAGGAGGAACGTACCCCAAAACAGTCAGGAGATCGTCTGGGGAGGATTCCTCGACCACTTCCGAATACGCTTGCGGAGTGCTGGGGCATGTCTTATCTTTCGTCCAAGATCCGCTTGTAGGTGGACGTGCTCGACCCAGAAATAGGAGGCCACCCGGAGGAGGCAACGACGTCGATGCCGCCGCCGCTCCTTCGTCGCCACGGCCTGGGCTCGCCTCGGAGAGGAGCTTGTCCCCGGGGGTCGGCGGCATTATCTTGGTGTGCCGCTCCGCTCCCCCCCTGGCAGGGGGACAGGGCGTCGTAGGGGTTCGTGCTGCTCCTCCGAAGAGCTGCGCCTGCCTTGGCGGTCCGGCGGCTGCGCTGCCGCCGCCTCGTCGATGCCCGTCGTCTGGGCCTGTCTGGCGGTTTGGCGGCTATGCTTGAGGGGCAGAGTCTCCACCACCACTACCACATGTAGGAGGGGGGAGAAGGGAGGTTGAGGAGGTCCTCCCCATCCCCCTCCCCCTCCCCCTCCTCCTCCTCCTCCTCCTCCTCCTCCTCCTCCTCCTCCTCCTCCTCCTCCTCCTCCTCCTCCTCCTCCTCCTCCTCCTCCTCCTCCTCCTCCTCCTCCTCCTACCTACCTACCTACCTACCTACCGACCTACCTACCTACCTACCTACCTACCTACCTACCTACCTACCTACCTACCTACCTACCTACCTACCTACCTACCTACCTACCTACCTGCGGCAGCGGAGGTGGAAAAGGAGTCCATCAGTGTTGCCCCCAGAGCTGGGTGGGGGGGGGGCGTGCGGAGTCTGCTGCACACGGCTGGCGTCGTTGGCCCCGCCGCCGTGTACCCTCCGCTCGGCACTCGGGCTCCCTCTGCGCCGTGGGGCGCTGCCCGGGCCTGCGCAGTGCAGGCATCGTGCTGACACAGGGAGCGCCGACCAGTGCACAAAGATGGGGCTTCTCTGCCCACGCCAGAAGAGCTGGGGGCACGAACAATGCCATGAACACGAAAACTCGGAGGTCCGCGCGGGTTTCTCAGATCCGCGCTGGGGCCCCCTGGCGGCGCCTCTGGCGCCGCCCCTGGCGCGCTGCGCGCGCCAGGGAGGGGCGTCCAGCGCCGATCCGAGAAATCCGCGCGGACCTCCGAGTTTTTATGTATGTTTATGGCATTCTTCGTTCTCCTAGGCGCGGCCCGAAAAGCCAGAACCCCTCTTGGCCAAAGAGGCGTTCTCCCCCGTTCGGGCTCTCTGGGCTGCAGCCGCCCATCAGACTCCGCCGGTGCCTCTGGAGTCTAGGGTCGGATTCGCATGCGGTCGCCTAGTTCTGCTCCGCATTCTTCGCCTACGGATCCTCGCCTGTCCCCTCTTGTAGCCCGTCCTTCTCTTGATCCTTCTCCGCCTCCTCCCTCCTCCTCGTCCGACCGATATCCCCCCTCCTCATGCCGGCTCTTCTGCACGTCCAGGTCTTCCTCTGTGCCTTGATAGTTTTCTCTTCATGCTTCACATGTTTTTCCTTCTTGCAGTGCTACGTCTGGCAACTCCTTTGGTGTGAAGGGAGATTGCCTCCAGGAACCTCGGTGGCGCTCAGGTTGAGGGCGACGCCGCGCGGATCAACCAGGGACCCCTGTCACTGGGCTCTCAGTGCGCAGCCCCTCTTGCCAGGCATAGGGCCGCTCTAGGTCTGCTTTAGGGAAGCGCAGCCGCTTCTTAGCAAGCTTAGGCCCTGGACTCATGCGGTTGACCCAGCGCAGGCGACTGTCCTTTCGCTGGCACGCGTAGGGTGCATGTTGCCCTCTGCAGAGATCTTCAGGGATGCCCAGTCATGGTGATTTAAAGATGATCGGTTTCTCGCCAGGCTTCTTTGTGGAGCTTGTCAGATATGCTGCGCTCCAGGCGTCGGATATCAACACTCTTAGCCGTCTGGAAGTTCCACGGATCTCGACGTCGAATTTTGGTCCTATTGGGAAGCTTCTGGGCCAGGATTTCTCGGACACCTGGACTCAGCACCAGGCCTCTAAATCTCGGAGATGAGTGGCAGGCTCGCATTGGCCTCAGTCTCGACAGATGACATGGGTGTGCAAGGTGTCACGCGTGTCACGCTGCTTCACCGATTCTACGACTGTCCTGGTTGTGCCGTCCTCAGAAAAGAAGAGTAATCTGAACATGCTCAGCGTGCAGCTAATTTGGTCAGGCAGCTTGGTGAGGAGGAGCGTGAGATGCTGGCGAGATGAGATGCCTCTTCCCTTCCCCATCCTGTTGCTTTCCCTGCGCGGGCCCCCCCTGAAGCAAACATTCGAATCGTTCGAGTGTTCCTGGGTGGCGTTTCTCGGGGCATGTGCTCCTTGATGGCTCGGCGTTCCTGAGGCCTCCTCTCAGATTTCGCCACGCACGCTGGTCAGTAATTCCGGTCAGCCGCTGCGCCGTTCCACTGGGCGCTGGGGCAGGCCGAGGGGGTGTTGGATGGAGTGCTCCAGATGGGCCTCGTCATTTATCCGCTCGTATTTGACGTTGACGTGGGCGTTGTGCTGTTCCTTCTTCTGCTGGTGTTCGTGGTCTCCCTCATCATCTTCGCGGAGCTGGCGCTGTTCACGCCCGTATAGAGTTGAAGTCCTGTGGGGAGAACAAGAAAAAACAGGCGCCAGGGCAGGCCGCTAGGGACGGGAAGGACTGGGCTTTCCAGGTGCTTTCTTTGACCAGCGAGTGGTCGGATGAACGCCCTCTTCGTAGTGCACACCGATTGTCCAGGCAGTTTCAGTTGTGCCGTCAACTCCGGCGTCGCGCCAGCGCCAGGGAGCAGCAATCCCAGGCAGCACCTGTGGAGAGAGTGGTGGCAAGGCGTTGGCCAGAGGGCCCGTGTAGTGACAGCGCTTGCGCGCAAAAGTCTCGCGTCGGTTCAGTCGGGCCATGAGGAATAGTTCTTCAAAGGCAACCTTATGACCGATCAGTGGGGCCAAGAAGGGTACTAGTCTGAGGAATGACTCGAATGATAACCTTGACTTTGCCTCGGGCTGTGAAAGGATGTCCTCGGATATCGTGCGCTGGCCAGGTAGGCGCAGTAAGCTTTTGGAGAGCTCGAGCAGCCACATTATGTGGAGCTTGCCAGCATGGGAGACATAATTATGGATGAAGATTCGCCCCAGTGCGTAAGTCAAGCATGTATGCAGGGTGTTGCACCGTTTGGGGACCGGTCCTTGGCCGAGGGCTTCGAGATTCATCCTCCAGTTCCTGGGGGCCCCCCTCCTCCTCCGCCCGAGCCCGGCGAAAACCAAGATGATTGACGCTGGTTTTGTGTCGGCCACGGGAGTTCCTTGGGTTTTCGGGGTCGCCCTGCTGTTGGGCAGGCCAGCGTCGCATCGGAAGAAGGTCAGGATCTCTCCCTTGTTCTGTGTTGTAAGGTCTGCGGTGCCTCGGTTCATGCTAATGCGCGTGGGCGTCAGGGGAACTTTCAACGAGCCAGTCACCCGGGGCTGACAACCCAGAGGTCGAGGCTTCGAAGGAGTTTGTTTCCGGGGCGCGCGCTCCTGGGAATGCCAGAGTTGGTGCGGCCTCTGGGCCGACCGTTCACATGCGTGCGGTTCCAGGTCCTGCTGCTGCCGAGTCGCTCGGCAGCGAATCTGCTAGGGGGCAGGGGTCGCGGCCGAGAACCTGACGCCTGCGGGCATCGCCATGCCCGCGTCTGGAGGTCCCGCAGGCTGGGCGCTTGCTCCGCCCCTTCGGTCTTGACGCCGCCCGCGTCGCCAAACTGCAGGGCGCTTCCTGGCCCGAAGAGCTGGCTCGGTGGAAGGCGTCCAGTCAGAGATCTCTGAAGAAAGCAAAATTCATCGACGAGATCTTCGTCCGTCGCGGCCGAGTGGCGGGAGGCACCTTGCAGTGTCCGCGTTAACAGTGCCCTCGGTGCCCTACCCTAGCTCCTCCACCTCCTCCTCCTCCTCCCTCCTCCGTCCCTCCCTCCACCCGATCCCAATGCACCTCATTATTCTCCTCATACGTTTCTTCCTCCCCCTCCATTACTCTGCTGCTGATCCGGGAGGACGTTGCCCAGCACGGCGCGGCGGAAAAGGCGCGGCTGACCCACCCTGTTTCTCCAGATTTGTTTCCCATTCATCGTCCTCTTTTGTTTTTCATCCTCCTCCTCCTCCTTGGTCATCTGGAGTGTCTTCCTTTTTGTAATCCTCATCTTCCTCGCTCCTCCTCCAACGGCGGGGCGGGGCGCAGGCCTTGCGCTCTGCTCATAGGTGCCAGTACGCACCTCCAACGTTCTGCGCTGGCCCCCAAGGGACCGCCGTTGCCCACAGCTGGCGACAGCCGTCCCCAGAGCGAGAGGGACGCCCGGGGCTGGGGCCCTTGCTTGACGCTGTACGAGGGAACTCGGCTAGGCGCACGAGGCAGATGTAGCCCCAGACCCCGACGGTGTGATTGTTCCATACCGTCGCCTCCCAGAGCTCTCGGCACATTCCCCGGCACAGGTGTTTCCTCCGGAGTCGTTCTCGGAAGGCCTCGCGGCCCGGCAAAGGCCCCCAGCGTCAGAAAACAGGACAAAACGTTCCGTCGTGATTTTTTCAATGACTCAAGTGGGTCTGGAGTTATGTCCGGCCTGTCCTTCTACAGGAGGGGTATCCCAGAGTAGTCCAAACATAGCCTGGGGACGACTTGCTTTTGTACTATTGACTTGTTTTGATTATTCCTGGAATATTGTTCCACTGTTCGTCCAAAATCCGCCTGCAGAGGGGACGCGCCCGACCTAAGTCTGGGGCCAGCCTCCCCGCGCCCGCCGCCGCCAGCCAGGGCCCCGCCGTCGCCGGTCCCAGCGGTGCTCCAGAGCAGCCCCCCCGCGGCCCCGCGGCGCGGCGACGGCGCCGCCGCTGCTGCGCGCCCTGCTCCAGCTCGCCTCCCCAGCGCCGCCAGCATTCGACGCGGCCGCCAGGCGCCCTCCTCGATCCTCCTGGTGATCCTCCTCGTCCTCATGATGCGTTTCCTCCTCCTCCTCCTCCTCCTCCTTCACCTCCTCCCCTCCTGCTCCTGCTCCTCCTCCCCTTCCTCCTCCTCATCCTGCTCCTGTTCCTCCTCCTCCTCCTCCTCCTCCTCCTCCTCCTCCTCCTCTTCCTCTTCCTCAGTCCTCCTCAGTTCTCCTCCTCCTCCTCCTCCTCGTCCTCCTCCTCTTCCTCCTCCTTCTCCTCCTCCGCCTCCTCCTCCTCCTCCTACTCCTACTCCTGCTGCGAGCGCCTGGCACAGTCCGAACGAAGCCAGGCCCCTACACCGCTCAGCACGAGCACCGCGACGATCCGCACGCCCCCACCGCGCCGCGCTTGCCCAGCCCGCCGGCCCCGCCCTGGCAGCCCAGCAGCGCCGACTATGCGGCGAGCTCCTCTCCCTCCATCCCATCCTCCCTCTCCTCCTCCTTTTCTTCCTCCGCCGCCTCCTCCTCCTCCTCCTGGTCCTTCTCCTCCTCCTCTTCCTCCTCTTCCTCCTTCCCCTCCTTTTCCTCCTCCTGCTCCTGGTCATGCTGCTCCTCCTCCTCCTCCTG